GCACCCTCAGAAAAACTATTTCCAGCCATTAAAGATTTGGACCGACTTGAATAATTTTCAAGAACCTTGCTCTTGATACCAATTGTTAGAAAAGTAGGCTGAGATCAAGAGGGGGGGTGAATTGATCTTTGAAAGATTTTCGCAAATTACAGATTATCTATTTCAAAGATTAAGAAATCTGACCAATTCTTGAATCACACAGCAAGCAATCAAAAAATAAATGCAGTCACAGAATTAAAGAAAAGAAAGGTTTAGAAAGATATCACCAAGGTTTATACTGGTTCACCCAATCCCAGGGCTACGTCCAGTCTCCAGCCAAATTCCAGTTGGGTTCCACTAGATTGAATGTTTTACAGATTACAACCTTAATCACACACTCAATCTACCACAAGAACCACAATTCCAGTTCCTGCACCTAACCTTTCACCAAGAACCAAATTCCAGTTCTTGACCTACCCTGCAGCCAAATTCTAGCTACAGAAACCAGTGCCCACAATTCCAGGCACCCACAATACAGTAAAAGAAAGTAAAGAAACAAACTGAAGAAACTTAGAACTCTCAAACCAGTTTTATGCAGTTCTGTAGTATGTGTTTCTTCTCCAAAAGAATGCAATTTTGCCTCAAGAAAGAACTTTGATGAACTTCACAAAAACTAGCGTGATTCTCTCTTGAAAGTAGTACTTTTGATTGCTTGATTGATTGCCAAAAGATGTATTTTAGATGATGTATAAAAAGTTCAAGCAACTCTGTTTATATAGAAGATTTTCAAAACTGCTGGTTTAATTAATCTGTTAAAATAATCTTTTAATCTGTTAAAAGTCTTGTTTTAATCTGTTAAATCTTCTTTTAATCCATTAAAACGTTCTTGATCATTTTCCAGATTTGTTTTAACTGATACGACAACATTTATATCAATTAAAACTCTTTACAAAAAAATCTTCCAAACTGTTTTAATCGATTGTTTCGTGTTTCAATCGATTAAAATACTGCAAAACATTTTTATAAACTTTTCCAAGTGATTGTAACTGATAAAAATAGGTTTTAATCGATTAAAACACTTAGTACAAATTTTCTTAAGTTGTTTTAATCGATTGAAACGCAGTTTTAATCGATTAAAATAATTCTGATCGGTCATAACTCAATTCTGATCGATCATATCTGGTTCTGATCGGTCATATGCTTATTCTGATCGATCATACAGTACTCCAAGTGGTTTTAATCGATTGTTTCGAAGTTATATCAGTTAAAAACCTGTTATAAAAGTGTGAAGAACATTTTAGTTGATAAAACTTATATGCTATTAGTTAAAATAGTTGATTAAGGAATCTTTTATCAAAATACTTTGTTTTTAACTGTTAAAACATTTTTAGAGGCATTTTGCAAAATCTTTTAAGTGAAGAAACCTCATGCAGCAGAAAGATAAAAATGATTATACCTAAGCAGAGCTGCAGACACACTAATCCCTCTACTCTTTTATCTAAGTGACCTTTGACTGCCACAAAGTTGCTTTTGATTTCATTTTTTACTTCATCAAATCAACAAGATCTTTGCCAACGTAATTCAATAAGATCTTCATCACTTTCACTATAGTGGATTCACTGATTTCTCCGGCAAATTTTGTGAACTTAGGTACTTTATATCCTTGAGGTAATTCCGTCTCAAGAATTGTATTTGGAAAAGGAGAAACAAAGTATGACTGGTTAAGTGGTCTTAATTCTACTCCTTGGGAATTCATCCTTTGACCCAACAAATGATTGTAATGCATGTTATTCTTATTATACACATTTTGAAACCCACCATTTAAATTTCTGTGAGCATCATTCCTCATATGCAAATATTGATCAGCATTTCAATTTCTCCTTAATAAATAAGGGGGATTAATATTGATGTTTTGGTTATTATCCTGATTAGCATTATTTTCAACCCTCATTTATCGAGGTATTGCCCATGCATCCCTGATATGTGTCATTTGATATGCTAATATCTCAAAACTACTAGTAGTGTTTTGAATTAATGGGTTTAATATTATAGTCAACTGTTGTGACAACACATTGACCATCTCGAAATTACTTTCATCCATTTGTTGTCGAAACACTCCTAATGAATTACTGGAAATTTCAGTACTAGCATTTTCGATAGCATCGAAATTATATCGATGATAATCTCTATCGAATGCATATCTCCCATGATCTACATTTGCTCTGTTATCCTGGTTTCGAATTGGAGACATCTGTTGTGTCCCTACCCTTTGTGCATTTCCTGGATTCTGAGGTGTTACTAAATTTTGGGATATACCTAAATTCGGGGAAAAATTTTGAGGCATTCCTAAGGTTTGAACTGTTCCTAGGTTTTGGGGCATTCCTAGGTTAGGTCTCATATTTCGTTGTACTGAAGTACCAGCCCCATTCATATTATTAAAAGTAAATCTGGGCGGTCTTATACTCATATAAGGACGTGCAAAAGTTGTTACAGGGCTTCCTGTAGTTTTCATATTGTTTGTCATTATAGTCCTAGACCCTATTAATTGAGTATTTGCTAACATCCCTTGGGCTTTTTTCATTATTCACTGGAATCGATGCACTCACATTTGACGATATAATAGGCATAGTTCCATTATGAACTTGCCCCCCAGTGTTCGGTGGATTTAGACTACTAGGAACCTCACTGTTACTCTGACTATTTGATGAATTTTGATTCATTCTTACTATTCGTCCACTCCTTAATCTCATACACTTTTTGAACTAGCCAAATTTTGTGTGTTTAGCACACCGCCCCTACCTGGCGAGCCAATTTGTTTCTGGTGAAATTTTTTGGTTTTGTTTCGATTTCCCAAAGACTAAGTTATAACCAAATTTCAACCACCATAAGTTTTTTTTTAGGCTAGCAAACAAAGTTTTTCAATCAAAACATATGAAACTATAAATTTAAGTGTAAAACACGGAAAACGTATTTAAAAGCATAAAGACATCAATGAAATCAAAAGTTCTTTTTTTGTATTTTTTATCAAGAGACTTGAGAACATGAAAATCGGCAGAAATAAAGTTAAGTGTAAATGAAATAACATGAAAGGCTATGTAAAATAAGAGACATGCAAACCCATATAAAGTAATTAAATAAAGATAAATGCAGGAACAAAGAACTTAAATTGCATGTAAATAAATTACCAGGGAAAGTAAAGAAAACGGTAAAATATATCGAAGCGAAAAGTAATACATAATTTTAAATTGAACAAGAGTAAATTGCAAGGAATTGAAATAACTAGAAAGTACAGAAAGACAAATTTAAATTGCATTAAAGATAAATTACCAGGGAAAGTAAAGAAAGCGGTAACAAAAATCGATAAAAGTGGAAATCCAAATTGCCATAAATTCCATGATTCGTCATTCTCCAGTAGACTTGTACAATAGATTTCTGATACCTCTAAAATTCCCTTCCTCCTTCACGCTTTGTTCTATTTATAGCTTTCTTCAACATAACCACCTAAGAACGGTTTAGAAACCGCTACCCCATGTTCCCATGCGTGAGATAATTGCTCCCTCAATCTCGACCTCAACCATCAAGTACTTTAAACTGCTTCTGACCACCTAAGAATGGTTTAGCAACCGCTATCCCATGTTCCCATGGGTGAGATAATTTCTCCCTCGATCTCGACCTCAGTCATCGAGTATTTTAAACTACTTCTGACCACCTAAGAACGGTTTAGAAACCGCTACCCCATATTTTCATGTGCACGATAATTGTTTCCCTCGATCTCGATTCCAAACATCGAGTACTTGAACTGCCTCTGACTTCCCTCAAACTTAACTTAACACTCAATACTTATTATCGATTTTTTACTCTCAATCATGTTCATCGAATTTCCTCTATCCTCTTTCGATTCATATATCGATTTATCTACTTTCCAATCTATATATCAATTTATCCACTTTTTCGATTCATATCTCGATTTTCCCTAGTACATGGTCATCGAATTTCTTCTATCCATTTTCGATTCCTATCTCAAATTGCCCCAACACATGGTCATCGAATTTCTTCTATCTACTTTCGATTCATATCTCGATTTTTTCCACCAACAGTTATATATCAAATTTTATCTTAATAAAATATTATATTTTAAAAGATTAAAAAAATTTAGAATTAAACCTTTTATTACTTAAACTAATTAAATAAAAATTAACTTATTAAATATTTTTTATAAATTAGTTATTTCATATTTATTTTTAAAAAATAATTAATTTATACATAGAATATAATATTATAATATATAATAATAAAATTAATACTAAGTATTTTATATATGTAGAAAGAAAAAAATAGTTAAATGTTTCTTTTATTTCTATATTTTAATATAACTATATTAAATTAAAGTATATACTTAATTATATATTTATTTATATATAAAAAATATATAAAAGATATTAAAATTAATTTGTTATAAATATAATTATTTTTAATCCCAATAATTAAATATGGTTAAAAAAGTGGAAATGTCTTGTTACATGTACATAAATAATGAGTGAAAAATTATCATCATCTTTTTATAGAGTTATTTTTTTAAAAGGTCTAAAAAATAACTTTCTAAAAAACAACTTTTCTAGAAGGATTTTTTTTGTAATTTTTTTTAAAGGATTAAAAAAATAATTATATTAAATTGAAGAATTGAAAATATATTTAATATTTAGAACTTAAAAATTATTTATTTTTAACTTGTTTAATAAATTAAATGGTCCACGTTGACTGAAATTGCTTTTTGAGAATAAATAATAATTCTCTTAGACCATATAATGAATGGGTTACTACCATCCATATCCTCCCATATAAAAGGACAAAAAGAAAATTGATAAAATGGGAAAAAGAAAAAGGACAAACTTAGTTTTCTTTTTTTCCTTTTAAATAAGTGTGGTAAATTGCGTGAAAATTGTAGTGAATAAATTGCTTGATGGTTGTCCTTATTTGTTTCTCTATCTATCTGATCTGATTGTGGGTGCAGAGCAAAGGCAATGGAAAGGAGCAGGTTGGCTTTGGTTCTCGCGATTCTGATCTCTTTCCAGGGAGCAATCCTCGTCAGATCCGATGCCTCCGATCACCGTTACAAGGAAGGAGACCCCGTTCCTCTTTACGCCAACAAAGTCGGCCCCTTTCACAACCCCAGGTTCGTTCGTTCGTTCTTTTGCTCGATCCCATTTCTTAACCGCCCCCGTCAACCCTTTCCTCCTCCAACACTTTTTTTCCACCCTCTCAGATTCTTGGTCTGCGTCAAAATCTGATCTTCTTTTCAATTTCATTCCTTGTTATATTCGATTGCAACGTTAGTGTTATACGAGGTTGTCATGATATTGTTCTGATTTCTCGTTTATTTATTTATTTGGTTGGTTTCAGTGAAACATATCGGTACTTTGACCTGCCATTCTGTGTTACAGGTAACTAACTATCTGAATTTATTTATGTTTCAGATTTTGTCATTTATTATTTCCTTAATTGACACTTCGTTATTTGATAAGTTATTTATCTAATTGTTAGTACTAAGTATGTTGACTCGTGATGGAGTTTTAGCATGTGGGATTTTTTAGTTTAGTTTTGGTGTTTCAGTTTTAGCAAGGCACATGAGATTGCCTGTTAAACATGGCATGCTGTTATTAGTCTATTGTCTTATTGGTTAAGTGGAATGTGTAGTTGTTGAATTGAACCATCTGGACAAAACAAATGGGAGTTTAGCTGTAGTTCTGTTTAATGTATTTTCTATACTTTTATGGGTTCTTGATGTGTGCAATGGGAAGAATGAGTTCAATTAAATGTCAGGTCATGAGAGAGAAAAGACCGAAGCCCTTGGTGAGGTGTTGAATGGCGATCGCCTTGTTAGTGCTCCTTATGAACTTAATTTTCGAACAGAGAAAGACTCTAAGGTTGTATGCAGGCGAAAGCTCACAAAGGAGCAAGTTGCTCAGTTTCGAGAAGCAGTTAAGAAGGATTATTATTTCCAGATGTATTATGATGACTTGCCAATCTGGGGATTTATTGGGACGGTTGACAAGGAAGGGAAAACTGATCCGAGCGAGTACAAGTATTTCCTTTACAAGCACATTCAGTTTGATATTCTGTATAACAAAGATCGAGTGGTTGAGATCAGTGCCCGGATGGATCCTCATTCTGTGGTGGACCTGACTGAAGATAAAGATGTTGATGTTGAGTTTATGTACACTGCAAAATGGAAGGAAACAGATACTCCCTTTGAGAAGAGGATGGAAAAATACTCTCAATCTTCTTCTTTGCCACATCACTTAGAGATTCACTGGTTCTCGATCATAAACTCCTGTGTAACAGTGCTTCTTTTGACTGGTTTTCTGGCAACCATTCTCATGCGTGTATTGAAGAATGACTTTATGAAGTACGACCTGCTTACCCAACTATCATCATATTGTCATCTTTTTTGCTTATAACATTTTTTTGTTACATGTCCCCACCGCCCATGTTTCTTGTTTTTATCTGCTGTAATTTTGTCCAGATACGCTCAAGATGAGGAAGCTGCTGATGATCAAGAGGAGACAGGGTGGAAGTATATTCATGGTGATGTTTTTCGGTTTCCTAAGCATAAGTCTTTGTTTGCAGCAGCTCTTGGTTCTGGTACTCAGTTATTCGCACTGTAAGAATCATCTAATGGCTCTTTCTCCCTTTTGTGTTGAAGTTTTTTAATTCCTTTTTTTTTTCTTTTCATTTTCTATATTATATTCTTTATTTATTTATTGATGCTTGTGCAGTACAATCTTCATTTTTATGCTTGCGCTGGTTGGTGTGTTTTATCCATATAACCGAGGTGCTTTATTTACTGCACTGGTGGTCATTTATGCTCTAACATCTGGCATTGCTGGCTACACTGCTACTTCCTTCTACATTCAACTTGAAGGGTCTAATTGGGTACATATGGACTCCTTGCTTTGATTGTTGTTCATGTTTGACTGTATTAATTTATATAATTTTTATGAAATGAAATTATTTATACATTTATTTTATTGTTGGCAGGTTAGGAACTTGTTGCTCACAGGATGCCTCTTTTGTGGCCCCCTTTTCCTTATGTTCTGCTTCCTAAACACAGTTGCAATTGTTTATAGTGCAACTGCTGCCCTGCCATTTGGCACAATTTTAGTGATAGTCCTAATATGGACGTTGGTAACTTCACCACTGCTTGTGTTGGGTGGAATTGCTGGTAAAAATAGCAAATCTGAGTTCCAAGCACCTGTCCGCACTACAAAATATCCCCGGGAGATTCCACCTCTGCCTTGGTACAGGAGTACCCTTCCTCAGATGGCAATGGCAGGTTTTCTCCCATTTAGTGCCATCTACATAGAGCTGTACTACATTTTTGCAAGTGTATGGGGCCACAGAATTTATACCATCTACAGCATACTCTTCATTGTCTTTATTATTCTGTTGATTGTCACTGCTTTCATCACTGTGGCATTGACATACTTCCAACTTGCTGCCGAGGATCATGAATGGTGGTGGAGGTATGTAACTTATCTTATTGCTACGATCTATAGTTGTTTGAGAATTGAGTTTGTGTAATATGTTTTTCACTAGAAATAATGTTGTCTAAGCTTATATAAGAAATTAAATTAGTTTTTCATATTGGTCTTTGGTTTAAAGGATACATTCAATGGCTAGGGAACGAGGGGGAATATTAAAATAAAGTTTTAGACATATACTACTATCCTCACTTCCTTGTTCGCAAAATCTCACATAAATTCCTTACTATATTCACACTTATATTTTTAAAATAAAATATTTAAAAGTTATGAATAAAAAATTTAAATTACAATTACTATCATAGAAAAGTTGTACATTTTTCTTTGCTCTTTTATCCACTTATCACTTTTTTGGTCCCATTAAGTTTCCTCTTGTTAAATGTTGAGAAACACATGTTGATGCTAGATCATACAAGGAATCATCTTCGCACAATTTATTGTTGATATTGTAGGGTTTTAGGTATTGAGGGAGGAAAAGGATGGAGTGGAGATTGAATATTCTAAAGTTGATATAGGATTGGGATATGATTTGGTGCAAAACATAGAGCACTATCCCTCCCTTGTACTAATATTGGATCATAGTTCTAAATAAATAAGGAAACTATTCATGAAATATGAAATAATTTGGGAAACTAATCCTAAACAATAACAATAAAATATGAAAATCAAGATGTATAACCCTTCTAAGGCCAAATGCACTCTTCTCTTCAATCCGAGATGTAGTCTTCCTTTCCTTCCTTTCCAAGATGTATTGCTTCGTAAAAGCTTAATCCCTGGGAGGGTGCTTGCAAAGACACTTAGATGCTTAAGTTAGGTAGGGTATAGGTGATCAATAAATTTGCACTTAATGGACAATGCATATCTTGGGAATGTCACCTTTTTATAGTATTATTATGGGCCTATACCTTATTGGGCTTTGGGTGTGGATCCAAAGTGGGGCTAATCATCCTCATTAGCATGATTAAATTGATTACTTAACCTAATCTACATGCAAATGTTAATTAAGGGTTTAGAGAGAGATGTATTTAGTATACCAGGATGTTCTCAGCATAGTTGTACAGAAACTAATCCTTAGACATAATTTAAGATATTCTAAGATACAACTGAAATATTATTAGATCTCTTTCTTTTTAAATTTTTTTATGCCCCCTCTACGCAAACCAACCCTTGATGTATTAAAATAAACAAGCAAGCACATATTATGCAAAACATGGTTGGATAGGTAACTCAGGGATGCCAGAGATGTCAGAGCTGAGTTCTGATAAAGATATACAAAGTCAGCAAAATGGTTGAATGCTGCAAGACCAAGGAGGATTAATTTTTTGGTGTGATCCCTGGTTGACAAATTACCAAGCAAGAAGTGAAGCTTCTCATTTTCAATTCATCCAAAACAGCAGTTCGAAGCTTGAAACCATAACTGAGGTTGATTGGTTTAGTCTGCATCACAGCTAAGGAGAATTAATCATTAGCATGACTAATCAATGAGACAAAATAAATTGCCATCAATATGATTCTCAACCGAAAGTTAGTATGAATCACATTCACTTCATCAGAGATTGACTCATTGGTGAAAACAAGTCATGAGAACAATTGTTAGTACAAAGAGATTCTTATTATGACACATTGGACAATTTGGAATAGAGATGAGTTTAGAATGGGTAATTGAGACAAGTCTAAAGCATTTGATATCAGGATAAATTCCACCTTTCTCTCCATCAGTGCTATATTGGATAAAAGTTATTTATTCAGAACCTAAACTAATGGCAAAGCCAAACAGCCACCTGTAAGTGCCGAACCGAGAACAGGACTGGACCTGACAAGTTAGCAATGGTTTGAAATAGGGCAGCATGTGCACTAGAACATCTGGGTAGATAGATTTTGGTGATTGGTTGGATGAGATGAGGCCTAACCTGGGTAAAGAATGCTTAGGTTACTGGTATGGTAGACTGTGGTTCAGTCAGAGACCCCATACACTGGCACGTGCTGCTGGACATGCATGCAGGGGAGAGAAGCACATATTGCCAAATCTAGTCTATCCAAGCATTGATCTTTCTTGATCTGAGACTTCCAGGTGCTTGTAGGTCAATTGATGGCAAGCTTGGTCTTTATTGTGAAAAATTCACTGACAGTAGCAGCATAAGAGTGATTGTCAAAAAGAATGTGGGAGTGGTGAGCAGTATACTAAGAGGGAACCTAATTGAGATTTATGCACGGTTGATAAGAAGAAAAGAATAAAGGAGATAATGACATTGTTATGATAAAGTAGTGTAGTGGTGAGAAAGGTGATGGAAGAGGATGGTACCAATCTAATACCGTGTTCAAATTATAGGGTTTTAGCCTTTTAGTATTGATGGATGAAAAGGAGATAATTGAGACTGAATACTCTGGAATTGATTTAGAGTTGATATTCATAAGTTACAAAATATAAAGCATTAGATTGTAATCCCTATTAAATAAGGAAACTAATCACCAAGGGGGAACAAGGATATTGATCCAAAGAGATAATAAGGAATTGTGAAAACTACTAAGTTATAAACTCAAATACGCAAATTTATTCTATTATACATTCATATATATTACTGGATATTTTTTTAATATTCTAATATTTAAGTTTAAGTTACCAAGTTTCAGTCGCTTTAATCCCACTTAGCAGAGTGTATGTTTATGAGAATGCTGGTTTCACTAAAAGGAATATTTGAAGATACCGGGATACTTTGTCATGTTACAATTTTAACTTGTAATGTTAGTAATGTATATCTATTGGATTTTGCTGAGATTAGATGGCCTTGAGGATAAATTAGGAAGTTTATGTGATTGGTTATCTCTCCGTTAGCTGCAATTTGGGGGCTAACAATGGTATTTGGAGGGGAGGGGGTCATTTCCTTCCATGTCACATCTCCATCTGTTAGAATATAAGGAGAAGTAGAAGCAGAAGTTTATTAAAATAGATAGAATATTAATGGGTTTGTTTAAATAGTTAGTTAGATATAAATAGGAGAAGGATAGGAGAGGCAGATTTGTTATTGTAAGTTGTGACAATAGAATTTACGCCCACAACAGATTATTTACGATTATATATTTATTGTATTTGTTATTGTTATTGATTAATTAGGAAATTTGTTGTAAATGTATGTCTGACAATTTTACTATTTTAGTGGACTGAAAATCAGAGTAAGAGTTTGTAATTAAATGGAATTTGTATAAGAATTCTTTAGCTGGATAACATACCACTTTTGGCCTATTTTTTTGAGTTTGACAAATCGAGCATTAGCATTTTGAGAAAGGATAAATCCTTTGTGCAGGGCAAACCCTTTTGGAGGAGAGATTTTTCTCCTATTAATTTGTTCTTTTCATCCTATTCAACAAGAATCTTTCTTTTCTTTTTCTTTTCAATTCTTGAACTTCTCCCCCATTGGCCTTCAAAAATAATGTTGTGTTACTTAGTGAACAATAGGTGATATGGTTATCCCAACAAGGAGTGGAAGACATGTGATGACATTAATAAGCCTAGGAGCATATCTTTAGGATTTTATTAATAATCTTTGGAGTTTTTTTCCGTTGGTTATTCTGCTTGTAATTTTTTAACATGGTTATTTTTTTTGTGCTCTTTATAAAAGGCCCTCTACGTTGAATTTGAACTCAGTTATTCTGAGTTAATTTACCAGTATCTCTTCTTTTTCTCTCCATTGTTCTCTCCTTTCTCCCTTTCCATTATCCATTATGAATCAGTAGTTTAATTTATGAACTGGCTACAATTTAGTTTGGGATTTTGAGATTTTCTTACATAGATACTTGATCTGTCAATTTTCTGTAAAATGACTATAAACCTTGTATATTGATTCGGTTAACTTAAACCAAAGGCGTTTGTAGAATACAACAACAGCCCCAATTTCTAGGTCATTATTACCTTCTTGTGCACTTTACGTAGGGGGGTAGGAGTGGGATTAATTCCTATTTTCCACTTCATCTCATGTGTCTACTGAAACAAGCAGACCCTTTGTCCAGGCAACTATAGTAATATACTAATATTATTTTTCCTACTTTGTTTAGGACTAGTGGATGGCATTGGTAAGAGTTTTTTGATGCTATAATAGAATGGAATGTGCCTTAGAATATTTAGCTTTTCTAGGACTACTGTTGCTGATTCATAAAGACTAATGTTTTTCCAAGGTTGCCTAGCCTTAATAACTTTTAACATATACAGGTGCAACTGCAAAATATTTTGTGTGTTATTTTTCTGTTGGATGACATTCCTGGGTATCTGTTACATTCATGGCCTGGTTAGGTTTTGAGACCAGGCCCAAAATTTAGATAATTTGGGTCTATCATGGAAAGTTTGGGCCACCTGAGCACGGGCAATGCCTGGAAGGGCTCATATATAAAAATTCTTATTCAAAGTTTGCAGAAAAAATAACCAGTACATGGATTTGGCACAACTTCCATAATCAAAGTCCTTTCTTGGTCAAAAATTAAGAAAATTAAGGACGGTTTAGTACAGTATCATGGCATTTAATGCAATCATATTCTTTCCTTTTCTGACAAAATGTGTTTTTTAGCCAATAGTAATTATTATTTTATTAACTATGTCATGAATATTAAGATAAAGGCAGAGTCTCCATTTTGCTTTCGACCTGACATTAATCTTGTTGTGGTTCATAGGTCTTTCCTCTGTGGTGGATCGACTGGCTTGTTCATCTACGGCTATTGCTTGTATTACTACTATGCACGATCTGATATGTCTGGTTTTATGCAAACTTCGTTCTTCTTTGGTTATATGGCCTGCATCTGCTATGGTTTTTTCCTAATGCTTGGTAGTGTAGGTTTTCGAGCCTCCCTCCTCTTTGTTCGTCACATATACAGGTCCATCAAGTGTGAGTAGCTGGTGGCTGAACGTGTTGGTAAAGTTTATATTATCTGTTAGGTGAAGAGAAAAAAGGTCCATGATTTTATTTTTCTTTTGATGTCATAAGATAGGTTATGTAGTGTGTACCTGGGAACTAGAGAAGCTTAGACTCCTTTCATGAATTGGTGTCATGCTATCTCTATAACTGCACAGGCTTGCACTTGGGGGAAGTTTTTGGACCATGGAATTTAATCTTTCATTACTGTAGTCACTGAAAGTTATTTGAAGTAGCTTGTATTAATTAATTTGTCTGCTCGGAAATTGACCATTTAGAATTTAGTATGGTTACACATACCTAGCTAAGATATATATTCTTTACTAGGTTATAACGGTGTGGAAACATATTATAGTCAGTAAATACATCATGAGCTAGTTATACCAACTAAAATATGGTTTGCAAAAGAATTTGATCAAGTAATTTATATATGGAATGAATAATAGACGCTTTCATTTTAATCATTATGATGAATTTTGATTGATGTATAATGCCGAAGTTCTACACCAAGTTACAATTCCTAGTTCGCACACATGCAGAATGCTTGCAGTGATAAAATTTGTCTGATTTTTTTTAAACATAGTTATATCATTGTGCAAGAGGGTTTTGTTTTTGGTTATGCAAGTTATTGTTTTGAAATATAGGAAATACTGACAAGTTGTAATCACTAAAGAAAAGTTAAAATTTGGTGGTTCTGATAGGGAAAAGAAATTGATGTAAAATAATGTTAAAACTTAAATTTAATTCTTTAATAAGTTGCGGGGAGGTCACAAACCGGAGTGTCGCATGATTCCCTCAATTGTTTTTGGAACCAACCAAAAATAATAACTGCAAATATTAATTCATTTAAGTCAGAAGACTTTTTGGTTTTAGAGTATACCACACTCGGTGAAAGAAAAATTAGAACCCATCTTTTTTAGTGTAAATGATGCATAACTTAAAGGAGAAAGAACTTTCATTTCAATCTTGTAATAATATCATGGGTCACTATTTTTTCTCATAAAGAATGCTGAACTTTGATTGCCCTTATTATTTGTCTCAAATTAGGGGTATAAATAAATAAATATTAGTATGTATGAATGACCAGGTAACAATAGCAGAGAGAAAAACTGGACAAATGTTTTTGAATTTGCTGTGAAGAAGCTCCAACTTTAGCAATCTGTAGCAGGGTCAATGTGTAATCAAAGTCTGCATGACCAAAGTAATATTTGTTTAAAGCATGGTGAAAGAGAAAACGATATGACAAAAAGTATTGAGCTTTAAGCTAAGTAAAGCAAATTAATGATTCTTCTTCGTCACTTAGTAATGAAAGTGGGGCATCACATATATGAAAAGGCCATCATATTGCCTTCCCAATGAACCAACTTTAATTTCGTAATTTTTGCAAGCCAATCAAGTAAGACTATTTTTGTTTTTATTTTCCTCTTGATTTTGCTATATCGACACCCTTTTGTTTTCCAACTCTGAAAGAAAATTCCCACCAATTTGCACGTAGATATTCTGAACCCTATTGCAATTGTGGAGTCCTTTATTCCTATTCTAGATATGATTTAGGGTTTTGTTCACACTGCTGGATCCTACTTTCACTTCACCCTAGATGGAAAATATTCTATCTAATCTCAATATAAGTAAAATTAATTATTTTCCCACTAATTACGAATACAATTAAAAATTTACATACTATATTATAAGTAGAATCGGGGTTGTTCTCCAATTGAATTTTTTAGATTTATCTTAGAAATTTACATTTTATTAATCATTGCATATTGTCAAGATGAAACTCTAAATTTAATTAGAGAATATATGCAAATTTCATTTTTAACAATCATCGCTAAGTTAATTTATATATATATATATATATATATATATATATATATATATATATATATATACATACATATAAAATTAAATTATTCTTCATTATATTTATTGAAAATGGTGTTTAGTTTAAAATAAATGTATTTTTGAAACAATAGTATTCAGTGTGGTTGGATTTTTCTTATATTATTTTCTTATATCTGAGTCCAAATAAATAAATTTAAAAATTACATTTCACATGAACTTACTTCCTTTGAATTTTTAACAAAGTCACACAAACTATTATATGTGACATAAAATAATTATTAGCATTATATTGGACACGTAAACCATAAACATTTTATCAACATTTTTTATTTGTCTCTTATCATATTGCATCATCAATTATAAATGGTCTTTTCTTTCTTCTGTTATTTCTCGAGATGTAGACAACACGAAAAACAAAATGATTATTCATAGCTAAAAGAATTTGATTTATACAAATTTAAAGTTAAATATAGCTTTATTACGATAATGATTTTGTATTCAAATAATAACTTTTGACTGCATCGTTAATTCAATTTTATGAGCATTTATTAAATCTTATATTATAATGTGATTAAATCTTTTTCATCCACCTTTTATAATTTTATTTTATTTTAGCCAAAAAGTTAGAATTATATTTGAGATACTAAACAATGATTGTACCCAACTTTAATAATTTGAATTTCACTATCTCTTCACATGTTTAGTCAACCATTGCTGACAAAAAAGATATATATTTCGTCTTAGTAACATCAAAAGGAAAAAAGAAAAAATCTGTTACCTTTTTCTGGTCTAGAATGAAGATCTTTGTTACCCATTGAAAAACTTGAGATTTTAGAGTCATTAATAATACAGTCTGGTAGTCGCAGTATAGGATTTTTGATGCAACAAAAGTTAAATTAATCTTCAATTAATTGTCAATTTTACACTATTATTTCTGTTCAATTATAATGGGTTGTTTCACTTTACATAGTTTTTTTTTTCAATTTTAGAAAGTTGATAAAATAACTAAATTAAATTAGTTATAAATGTTAAATATGTGAGTTAAATAGCTGACTCATCAGTTCTTTTTTATATATAAAAAATGTTTATATATATTAAAAAAAGGCCAATAATAGAGTGAAATTAAAAAATAATAAACAGAAAAAGCTATTTAACCTAGTTTTATGAACATATCCTGATATCTCACCATATAATAGTTTTTTAAAATAAAAGGCTCGTTTGGCTAAAGTGATTTCAATAAAAAACTATTTTCTTAGGTGATAAAGGATCCAAACATGAAAAAGAAGTCAACTAGAACTTAACAAATAATTGAAAGAAGACAAAAGAAGGAGAGAAAAAAAAAACATTTAAATACATGAATGGATATATATTGAGTATGGAAAAGGCATAATGAGCGGAAACAGTATGCAAGAAGGGAGTAATTGCTACAGGCGAAGGGAATTATGGGCATTCATGGACACAACATGATCAAATTGAGGGAGAGGGGATTGGAGAGACAAGAGGATATGGCTTTTGGGTATCAATCATTGATTTGGTTTCTTTTCTTTGATAAAACCCCCCCAAGTGGGAACTGACAAGTCACTCAGTCCCAGGCGTGCCTTAGACGACAACTTCCTCTTCCTACTCTTCTTCCTTAACATACATCAAAACCTCCACCTCTTCCCCTTCCACCTCAAACAAATTTAAAAACTGAATTATTTAAAAACAATATTTCAAATTATACATTAAAAATATGATTCATATTCGTCAAAATTACTTACAAGATCAAATTTTATTCCACTCTTTTATATATATTATAATTTTATTATATCTTAATTCATGTGTAATTACAATATATGATATTATCTTTTTTGAAACTTTAGTATAAAAAACGTTTCGGTGGATTGATTAATTTCAACTCTAAACAATGTAAAAATTATAAGTTTATTGAATGATACGTATAATTATAGTTCAAACAATTTAAAAATAATTAGGAATAATTCAATTCATAAAGTTAAGTTCTGTTGGATCATTTTTGAAGTTCAGTTTTACAATAATTCCGTTCAGTTGATACATTACACCCACATTCTTATTCACAAAATAAGTGTCCTTGAATTCAATTTCACTGCCATACCTCTATATATATATAGTTCCAAAAAGTTAATCAAGCTTGTTAATGTTGGGGCACATTATTGGCACACTCATTTAATCAAGCTTCCCCAACTTCCATGCCAATTTTTTCCAAGTTGCAATCACGTAAAAGAGAAAGCAAAAGTGAATTCTGAAATTAAAGTCTTCACTTTCTTTCCCATTTATTTTTCTTTATTATAAAGTTGTCATACTTGTTTATTCATGGAGACCTTTAAGTTTTGTTTCTTCATGGTGTTGTCTTTTAGGCAAATCGTCCATGTACTGTACGGTTGCCCATGCCTCTCATGAACAACTGAAGAATCAATTTGGTCATAGTGGATTTTTTGCTATGCTTTTTTGGTCTTTGGATAATTCTATCATCATAAAAAAAATTCGGGTGAAAACATGAATATGTGTTGATCTAGTGATTCCTCGGGCTTATATATCCAATGTATGTAATTTTCTCTGTAACAAATGTTCTAAGCATATTGATTGAAAGTTATATCAACAAGTTGAATAAAGTCATATTTAGATGCATTAATTAATTATAATTCCTTATCTTTAATTGCCAAGAGGCACCTTATGCTATGCTATGCTATGTTGTGATTAATAAGTCAATAACATGAGGTTAATTCTACGTCATAAATTCGATCCTAATTATTGCAGGGAAACTGAGTTACGATATATAACAAAGTATAAAATTATACACGATAAGTAAGTTACTTAATGAATTTTAATTAATTATTTTGTCAAGTTCACCACGTAATGTTTGACTTAGTTTAAATGTTGGGTACGATTGATCCAGCGGTCAAGATACGTTGTCCGATCCATGGTTTTATTATATGCATATGTAAAAAATATTAATGGTCTAATTTTATTACTATTTTAAAATAAAATATAATTTTTAGGTAGTTTGGTCTTATATTAATTAAAGATGAACCAATCAATTTTAATTTGATTATAAATTAAAAAATATATATTTTTAAAATTTAAATTATATTAATAAAATTTTTATTTTAAATATAAT